ACTTCAGACAAAAGCAAAGAAACTTGATGTTTAGTGTAGTCTTACTGATTTTATTTAGGCTCTCAAAAATAGTGGAAAATCATTTGCAGTCCTCAGTTATTGCCTTGATCTAGGCTAGAATTTTAGAGATTTCATGACATTCTCCAGAGACCTGGGAACCAATGAACTAGCCATATTACACAATCACTCTGATGTTCACAAAGGAAAGTGGTGATAATATGGAATAGTTTATAAAAACTAACATCCTAGGAAAAAAATCTCAGAGAAAATATTACCCTGATACTGGATCAAATAATGCCATTTTTATATGTAAAGGAAATCACACTGCCTTTCAGACATACACGTTAAAAAATTTGAGTTAAGAAAATATTCTTTAACCAGAGTAATATAAATTCTTTTGCTCAAAGGACAATAACAGAAGCCTAGAGAGAAGTCATAATTCTGCATTTTGTTTGAATATGATTAGACATTATTACTAATTATTAAATGAACACATACTACCTAAAGATATTTCAATATATACATTTAAATTATTTTATAAACTTTAGTTTAATTAGACAGGGATAATTTATATTTTCTTCTTAAGAGGAAAAAAAAGAACTTGCTGGTTAGTCTGGCACAAAATTCTATTCTAACCTTTGAGGTACAAGGGAATATGTGACAAGAGATTACATTTACTCATTTATTTATTTTATTCAAACTTCAGATGCTTAGGGAATAAAAGGAAAATTGAATTGGTCTTCGTAAAAAATTCTCTATTTTAATAACATCTATAGGGAATGGTGAATTGATTGGAAGTTTGGAATTTTTTTTCTTTTTTGTTCTGGTCATTATTCTCTACAACAAGACTCTTGATTCTAATAGAGGTGCTGCTGCCTTTCATAATTGAAAATCAGAACTCATTTAAGTTGTGGATCATGCTCACTTTAAAATGCAGTTTGTTACAGAATTATTCTTTTAGCAAACCATTTTTGGGAGACTATCACCATTTTAGAACTTGAGTCCTCTAGATATTGCCCATTCATAGAATCTACATACTATTTGACTTTTTTGGCTTAGGCACTACTTTACTTAGGGCAATGAAAGACTAAAATCCCAAGTTTGTTTTTAAAATATACTTCACTGTGTTCTCAAGCAAGAGAAGTGAAAGTCAATTGTCATTTCAGTCAGATTTCATTAAAAGAAAATATCTGATATGAAAGAGAAATGACTTTCTCCATATACAGAAAAATATGTCATTTCAGCAAATAAATTTTTGCTGGAGACAATGTCATTCTATGAAGAACTGTTTAGAAAAGATAACACCTTGCTGTCCTTGGTAGATTGGGATGAGTGTACTGAAAAGCAAATCCAAACTTGGTATGTTTTACAGATCATGTTCTCACTATAGCTGGAGAATCTTAAAGGATCAAAGCACTATCAAAGCACAATTATATTGCAGTGAGCATAAAAAATGTGAATTCAAAATAATGTTTAATATTATATTGTTGACCTAACAGGAATAGATGCATAATACAAATGGACAGAAAGTTTTCATCTTAAATGCTGCCCCATGATAAAAAGCTACAGAGGGAAAGGTTGGAAGTGTTAGTTTTTAATCATAATTTGGTTATTTAACCCTTCTGTGTTTTCACAAAGACTAGGGTAAGTGTTTCTGATGGTTATTCCCAGAGTATTCTGTACTCCTGCTGATAAATCATAGCACTTATTATACTTTATTATAATTTATAGTTGCCTGTTTTATCTGTTTGTAAAGCCAAGAACAATGTTATTTGCTCACCACTGCTTTCCCAGAACCAGGCAAAGACTTATTTAATAGATTAATAACCCTGTTGGGGAGGCAAGGATTACCAGCTTATCATAGACAAAAAGCTCAGAGAAGTTGAGCAAGTTGCTTAATGCAGTGTAGTAATTAAGTAGAGAAGTCAGCATTTGAATCCAGGTCGTCTATTATCAAGTCAAGTGCTCTTTCTAGTGCTCATCTTTTAAGACTGTATTGTATTTCCGATGTAAAGAAAACATATTCGCACATATATTTCTACACATGACAGACTGCATGCCTAATCTGAAACATGGAAGGGGGATTTCTATGGGGTTTGGCTAACAGTAATATGTACTAAATTATAAATATCCCATCCAAGATACAGTAACAATAACAATGTCAAACTCAACTTGTGTTCTAATCTTGTGCTAGATATCATTCCTGGGATGCCTTATACATATCTTATATTGAAAACCTTCAAAACCAAAATGTATTAACCACTCTCCTTTGCTTTTTCTCTTTTATTCCTTAGTATAGTTAATAACATCATTTACCCATATCTCAAATTAGAAACCTGACTTTCTTTTTGATTTCTTCTCTGCCCTAAATTTTTATGTTATAAAATTAAAATAAAGAATTCATCTAGAACAGATTAATGTCCTAAAACCTACAGCCTTGAAATTTGACTCAGCAGGCAAAGGCAAAAAAAAAAAAAAGTCATTATTTAAAATAAAAAAGAACTGATATCTGAAGTTGGATTTTGAAGTCACTGAATTAGGTTATTTATGTACTAATGAAGTTTTAGTCTGAGAGTTCTTGATTGGTGAATACTGCCTGTAAGGTGGTCATTTCTGCTGAATATAATTCTCAAAACCTCCACCTGGCAAAAAAGCTTTTGTTTTGTTTTATTCATCTTTCATGTCCCTGGTGAAATGTTACTCCTTAGAGCGGCCTTCTCTGATCATCCCATCTAAGTGAGGTTTCCCTCCTTTTATTTTCTATCACTATGCTTTTTTACTTCTTCTTAGAGTGAATTTCAGTGTATCATTATTAAGTTACTGTAAAAGTATATTTATTATAATTTAAACAGTTAATTTAAATAAATTTATTTTAAAAATACCTATTTATTTCAATATACCATTGACTAAACTGTAAACTCCATGAGGGCAGAGATTATATCTGTCACTGATATAAAAGTACATATAAAAGCATCTAGTTTACATTCAATTAAGCAGTCTTATAATTTGAGACTTTTAATAGGAGGATTAATTTGATTATCTTCACTTCTTTTTAAAAAATAAGTATTCAGACTAATTTTTCTATTATATTACTATTCTGATTCAACCGTAAAAGTGTAATTTTAAAATTACAACAAAGCAATAATTTTATCTTTGACATTACATTTTGGTGCTGGTAAAAATTATTTAAAAGAAACAGAATCTTATTCCTAGACAAAAATACAGAAAAAATTCCTGAAAAAAAAGATATTCAAATATTCTGTTTTATTTGAATTTATTGTCAATGTGAACAGCTAAGTGTTAACTATGGAAAAAATATCAAGACAAGCCACTTCCACTCCTAAAATTTTGCAATAAGAAAATTAACTTAATGTAGAAATTTGGAGTGATTTTTAAAACTGTATTTAATATTCTCTTTGCAATTAAGATGTAATTGCAGAGTTTTAAAAAGGCTCAAGAACTACTATGTATAATTAAACTTAGCTTAAAATATTTATGTACACAGTATATCACTAAGAAAAAAATACTGTGTCTTAGATAATTCTGTATTCCCATCATTAAGGTCTTAATATTTGGTGAATGAGTAAACTTTTATACTGGACTTAACATTTAGCTTTAATTATCTCCCAGACTTTATAAATGAGTACAACTTATACTGTTGGAATTTAATGAAGTCAAATAAATTATTTTGTTTTAAAAATTTGTAAGATATGGATGAGATTCTTCTACCCAATTTATGTCTTGAGAACTCCATGTTTTCATTCAGTTGAAGATGTAGCTGACTGGCACCCCATGTATAAATGTATAACATACATTTTATATCTAGAATGTCTTTATAGTTATTCTTTATTCAAGATTTAGGACGTCAATTTTTTTAAACTATGCAATTAATATCAGCTATTTTTGACACAGTCTAAAAACAATGATATACAACAGTTAACACTCTGAAGACTTTGCTGAAAAGGTTGTACCATGGAATGTAAAAACAACTGCACTACACACATCAAGAATTGCTTAAGATTACTTCTAGTTAAATTCAATGATAATATTCATAAAACTCATAGAAAAGCTGGAACTGAGGAAGATAGCTATATAAGTCCTTAAATCTGATGACAGTGAAAAAGCCACAGTTTGAAAAATTACCTAGAGAGCCCTGAAATAAATTTACTGTATAGCCTGATATCTAACATCATATCCTATTAAATAAGGAGGAATGTTACTGTTAAGCTTTTGATGCCAATAGTGGATCCATCCCATAGAAAACTTGAAAGCACAAATGACTAACTTTGCCAGGAAAGAGATATTCCAGGAAAAAGCATCAACAGTCATAATTAGGTTTGCTACTCAATTTTTCACATACATGAAGATGTCAGGTAGCAAATAAATGTCTAATCCTCCTCCCACCTGTTTACATGATTCAGTACTTGGGAAAAATTATAAAAAATAAATACTAAGACACTTCCTCCCTCCCCCAAAGGTTGGCATTAAAACTTTCTTTCTAATCAATTTAGATTTGTTTCCAAATATTAGGCAGCAACATTCCAAGTTGAATATGTTTGAAAAAATTTGGAATGATACTAGAGCAGGGAGCTACCCCTGCCTGGACAAGTTAAAAAAAAAAATCCCTTTGGTGATATTATTTTATTTTGTTAATCTTACTGTTTATTGGCCAGAAACACATTCATCCTCTGCATAAATAAGTTCACTTCTATACTAATAAGTATGCTAAAAAGTAATAAGTCTACAACAAGGAAACAGGAGCTACACAAAGTAATACCTATCGCTGTGAGGTGGTAGGCATTTTGAATGAAATTTCTATTGTTGGCCTAATACGACAATCTGTGAAACATTAGGTGGTAACTATGTTATAGCCCATTAATTTTTCATCGTATTATCTTGCATGCAATCCAATCTTGACAAGCGGAGGGAAATATTGGTTGGTTAGTTTTCCCAGATTCACAAAGCAGAGCAGGTGTAAGGTGCCAAGGAACTGTACTTACTTTTGGTGTTGGGCAGGAAGCCGTAGATAGGCGAGATGTAGCCTGAGCACGAGGAGATTCTGAAGGAGTAGTGCTGAGGGAGGCTGTGTCTCGTGGGAGCACCTGAACGCCACGAGAAATGATGGAGTCTGGAATCTGGACAAGAGGAACAAGTATGGTTTAATATGCTGAAAATACCAACAACATGTAAAATCAATACCCACATCAAACATTTTTGGGGGGGGGCATTCTTTGCTGCTGAGCTCTCAGATATTTGGTCTCACTTACTGTTAGGTATGAATGCATCCAACAATTTGGGATAGGGTAGAAACCTTCAGATTTAAAATATTTTCCTTGGCCAAATAATATTTCATCAAAGCTTTTTTTATGAGGCAGTATAGAATTGCAGTGAGAAGTAAAGTGTTTGGCATTCATATACTGGCTCTGCCACTTAATAGTTATTTAATTCCTAGATATTTTCCATTTCCCTTTCAGATTCATTCTCCACCCTTCTTCACTCTCTCTGCTTGAAGCTAACCTGTATAGATAGAATCAATAAGCTATTTTGTGCTCTCTGGTTTCTAGCTGGGCTCAGCTAATAGGAGCCACTGTCAGGAAACTGAAGAGTTGTAGGAGAGTAAGGTCTGACATTTATTCCCCTGGCTCCTTCTCTACCAGGTCACCGTAGGTTGGCTAAGATCACAGCCCCTATCAGATGACCCTTGCTTTCAGCTCTTCTGGATTCCAACAGCAGCTCCCTCCCTTGCCCCATTAGGACTAGGAGTATTAATAATTCCCACTATTACTAGTCCCAGGGTGCTGCATCATGTTTTGTTGCTTTCCCTAAAATCTGCCCAAGCTTTTGTAAATATTATAGTCCTTTATTAAACTCTTTTCAATTATCCATTTAAGTATGCTGTGACTTTGCTGGGATACATTTTTTTAATTTGCCATTTCCTTTATCTAAAAAATGTAGAAAATGATAGCATTTACCTCACCAGATTATTGCTGAGGGTTAAATAAGATAATGTATATAAATTATATAACACTTACAAGTAGTTAATACTTAATAAATGTTGGCGATTGCTAGTTATTATATTATACCTATCAATAGGGTAAAGACTGATGTAACTGATTATTACTACTGCAAAAACATATAAATGTAAGGACAAATAATGTGGATTATTAAAAAATTAATATTTATGTTGATTATAAAATTTATTATTTGGGGCTATGCATAATTTAGTTCATGTTCTGGGCTAGTACTAGTGAGTGTAGGTCTTCTAATCTCAAAATGAGAACTTGACTACTTTCAAGCAATTATCATTCAATCAACAAATATTACTTACTATGTGAAAAGAATAAAACAGCAGCCAGATTTTGTGACTAGAAAGGTGCTATCTTACACACCATCTCTTTCTCACAAAGGACATATTATTTTCATAAATGCTCTTTTATTTAGTTTCCATACCTACATCCTCAATACCAAAGGTACTGCCACCATTTCAGGGCTTAACAATTTATGTGATCTATGAACAATAACCCCATAACTAGGATGAAAAGCAATGGGAATTCTGAGAAGAAAAATAGCTCCATTTGCTAGTATATTTGAATAGTGAATTGCAATAAATATTTTAAAGAAATGGAAGTAGTCTAATTTAGAAGAGCTATATGTTGTCACTTATGTCTAATATAAAAGGTCATGTATTGGAAAGAAAAAGGTCAAATGCCCCTGTTATATTTCACTTAATACCACGTTTCTCTCTTTCACAGAAATTACACATACTTATACTACATTAATATGTATGCTAGTTTGATCAATGTCTATCTCCCACAACAGAATGCATTGTCATGATGATGGAACTGTGTTTTTGCTACTACTGTACATCCAGTACCTAATGAAGCATCTGCACAAAGTAGTATACATGTATGGTATATATTTCCAGAATTACACACACACACACACACACACACACACACACACACAGACACAGACACTATCTTCAGCCCCCCAATAAACAGAAGAGTAGGATATTTGAGGGAGAAGGTAACTTTAAATTGTGAGGTACATACTTTTGGGTTACTAGTCTGGAAATACAGAATGAACTATTGGAAATATGAGACTGGAGCTCAGGAAAAAGTTAGGGATTGGATATATACTTTGGGAATTATCACTGAAGGTGGTAGTTTCAGTCATGCAAATATTTCAGGTCACCCAAGGAGGGTATGTAAAAGAACAAAAGATGACGGTTGAAAATTCTAGGTGATATCCATATTAAGGGATTAACAGAAGAAAAGGAATTAGGGGAAAAAAAACCCTGTAAATGGTATGATGATACCTCTTTTTCCTTGAATAATCTGGGTTTATATCTATTATCCTGACTTAATTATTAAATAACACATCTTCTCACTTTCAGAAGTGTTTCACTTTGGAAGATAAATTATTTGGTCTTCCTATCTTTAAGAAACTGTTAGAGACAAAAGAGGAAAATTAAGACAGAGTGAACATAAGGGAAGAGAAAAGAGAAGAAACTTTCAGGAGATGTTACAAAATATCAACTATTGGGGAGAACAGGAGTAAGGTGAGAGTTGAAAAGATGCCATTAGATCTAGCAGTTAAAGGAGATACAAGTAAAGTAAAAAGAATAGAAACGAGTTGAGGAAGCAAGTGGGGATGACAAACCAGGGTAATTGGTGGGAAAAAAGAGATATTCACTAATATTTTTTTCTTTGGTGCTTGGAATGAAGATCTATCTAATGAGAAAAATGGGAAGTAAAAGTGGGAAAGATAACTCTAGGAGAGTCATAAAAATCTGGAAAAATGCATTGATGACTGAAGCATGGAGGATAACTAAGGCATTGGCAAAGGAAATATCAATCATCATTGAGAATCCAGTTAATACTGGCAACCATAAATTTCCAATTTCATTATGTAATATAGTGTGGAAATAAAATTTCACCCATCTCAAAAAAGAAAGTTATGCTACAGACAGAAACTTAGAAATTATTTGCAGAGATAAGAGCTACAGAAATAGATGAAATATGAAAGACAAAAACCATATGGAAAGAATACAGCAAAACAGAAAAAGGAGAAAGAAACAGACATTAAAGAACAAGATAGAGGTGGTCACTAGTAACCTAAAAGAAAGCTATTATTTAATGAAGATAGATACCTCAATATAGGTGGTAAAGAAAAAAGTTGGAGGAAAAGGATGCAGTGAATATGGATAACTCTGTTGTACAGTGTTTGTAATGTTTCCTTTTTGGAGATATTATGAACAATTCTTGTTCATGTACCATAATTCCCACATGCATTAATTCTAGGATATATATACTCAGAAACAGAATTGCTGGTTGTAGGGTGTGAATACTTTCTTTTACAAATTCCCAAATTGGTTAAGTCAATTTATATGTCTATCAAAAGAAAATGGTGACAATTCCTCTTACTCCACTACTTAGCTCTACCTAGTATTGTCAGTATTATTAATTCTTCTTCAAAGGGGATACTAAAAATATCTTAATCTGTGTGTTTTTTAAAAGTTTTTATTGAATTTGTTACAAGATTGCTTCTGTTTTACGTTTTGATATTTTGGATGCGAGGCACGTGGGATCTTAGCTCCCTGACCAGGGATCAAACCCACGTCCCCTTCATTGGAAGGTGAAGTCTTAACCACTGGACTGCCAGGGAAGTCCCCTTAATGTGGTTTTAATTTCTTTTCCCGTCATTGTTAATGAGAGTAAATACGTTTTATGTGTTTATCAGCTATTTAGATGTTCTCTTTTGTAAAGTCCCTACTCAATTTGCCCTATTTTTCCCTTATTAAGTTTCATTTTTATTGAATTGTTACATTTCTGTATCTATTCTGGATAACAAGTCCTTTATCAGTTTTATATGGTGTAAATATCTATTCCTACTATGTAGCTTGCCTTCTTTATCATGTATTGTGATGAACAGAATATTTTAATTTTAACTTAGTTAGCTCTATCAATATTTTCCTTTATAGTTAGTGGATTTTGTGTCTTAAAAGGAATCCTTTCTGAGTGACATCAGTAGAAAGGTAGAGTAGGTAATGTCAATAGTCCACACCTCTATTAAAGAAGTGAATAAACTAACAAAATCTGTCAGAATCAACTTTATCAGAAATCTAGAAACTAATCAAGTTTACAGCAGCCAGGTGAATAATTAATCAAAAACCCCCAACCCCCCCCCCCCAATTGATCCCCTACTACATAACCCAGTGATGGCCTTGAAGACACAGCCCACATGTCTGGTAAAGGTTCTGAATACTGAAGGGAAACAAACCTTATTCTCAAGGGTTGTGGTTGTTTCAACATGTCTGGTAGCTCACTGAAGGATACCCTCAAAGGGCTTTCCTTTATTTTCCCTATCTTGGAACACTCCCATGGCTCAGTCAACTAACTGGAGGGGAGGTTATCCAAATATTTAAAGTCAAACATATTAGCCACTGCTGTCTGGGCAGTGGATAACAGGTGGAATGAATAACAGAGTAACTTAAAAACCTGGGAGGAAAGGCCATGTAATGAGATGCTTTCAGGCATAAGAGCTTTGAAAAGCTCTCAGATATTCCTGAGTTCCAGGAGGTCATGATTATGCCCAAGGCAATGCACATCCTTAGAAGACTTCACCTAATGTTTCACCTCTTGCTGAACTAAAGATTTTGCACAAGTAGGAAGTGAAGATTAGGCAGAGTAGTAAACTGCCTGGCTGAGCGTTGAAGGCATGCTCCAATATATAAAAAGAGCTCATCTGCAAAGAATGTGAGATTTTCCTTTTCTGTATATTTATATTTTCCAGGCATTTAAGGAAATTATGTCAAATCACTAGCTGACTATGAAGCTAATGGAACAGAGACTTCAGTGGCCACACACAACAAAGAAGAACAGACTTGACAAAAGTAGTTCAGATATTTGTAGTGAGGTGGATGGACCTAGAGACTGTCATACAGAGTGAAGTAAGTCAGAAAGAGAAAAACAAATACCATATGCTAACACATATATATGGAAGAGAAAAAAAAGAAAATGGTCAGAAGAACCTAGGGGCAAGACGGGAATAAAGATGCAGACCTACTAGAGAATGGACTTGAGGATATGGGGAGAGGGAAGGGTAAGCTGGGACAAAGTGAGAGAGTGGCATG